ATACATACATACATACATACATACATACATACATACATACATACATACATACATACATACATACATACATACATACATACATACATACATACATACATACATACATACATACATACATACATACATACATACATACATACATACATACATACATACATACATACATACATACATACATACATACATATAAAGAGATACTATTGGACAGATGTTTGCCATGGAAAGCGATATGGACAGTTAAAAAGAATGGAGGGAGTATGTCTTAAAATGGTTGAAGTGGTTGATTGCACTCGGGTTGCTTAATTTCTAGGTGAAATGACTGAATCTTCTAAATAATCTAAAAACAATATTTAAAATACGGAGCATTTATTTAACAAAATTAAAAAAAGTAACCGGGGGAGGCGGGGAGACTTGGGACAACGATTGAGCTATTGCCATGTGATCGTGTGAACACGGCCCGGGTTCAAGTCTTGGAAGCAGCTTCTTGCAAAACAGCAAGGAAAGGTTTCCCTACATTACACCCTTGTGAGTTGTGATGGGACCCTACCCAAGACCCCCGCTTTCAAGGACGCTTTGTGAACAGTGCACTGGACTGCCCTTTAAAGAAAGTAATTTGTAAAACTAAAGTAGCATCAACTTCAGTATATTTGTCTAATGTATATCAACCAATTTAGCGAAGCACAACACAATAGATACTTGTAGACTGTAGTAAGTTAGTGTTTGGTGGAAAAAGATTTAAAATTAAACTTTCTCTATTGAGTAGCCAGGAAATGTAGGACTTGTAAGTTCAACCAAAGCTCTAGTATGCTAAAGTGAATTGGCAAGATCTGAAGTCTGAACACAAAATAATAGGATCATCACAAAGAAACCCATTCTTACTATTTGACAATGTTTGGCACCATTTCAATCATCAACCTTCCCACTTTCCTATATAAACTTCCTAAACGAACCTCCATACAAACCTAGCAAGTTGAAAGCTTTCTGAAGATGTGCTAAATTAGAAATGGGGTTTGTTCTCTTGGACTTTATTATAATTGGAGTATGTGGGGTGGGGGGGAGGGGGACTGGCGGAGGCAGGATTGCGTTCTAGGGGGCACCACTGCATTGAAATCATTGAAAATACTGAGGGCAATGTTGCCCGAATCGCCTCGGTGGCACATGCCCTAGAGTCCCCCTGCATCCACCACTGTGCGGAGCTATGAAGGGATTCTGAGAACAAGTATATTAAGCTAAACAAGAGGTTGGGTATGTTGAGATGGCTGGAATATGGAGCTTAGGTCTAGAGTAAAATAGGGCCTTGAAAAACAAGTACCCTGAGGATTGAAAAGCATGGCCATAATCATCTACATAAATTCCATCCTACCACCAATAATCAGAATCACCCTTTCTTTTTGTTTGAACAGAGAGGCGAGAATGTGCTTCACATTAACAGTCAGACTCCCCTAATTTCGTCTGTTGGATTTTCTCCATCGCTGTAAGTTATTTCAGTTTTTATATCAAATGTCAAAACTTTATGTGTTATACGAAGTATTTATTATTTTTGAATTCTTTTCTCGTCAGATATTTGCTATGATGTTGTTCTTTCAGAGACCATGAGCTATAATATGGTTAAGGCAAGGAGGTCCTTTGAAACGGTTCTCAATTCAACAATTTGTGGACAAAGTCCCCATTAAGTTTCCTCAATTGCCCATAGAACAAGACAAGTATGGGAATAGTGCTTGTCCTTTGGACGATTGTTACTCCCTCTTGCTCAAGGAGAGAATTGCCTTGGAAAGGGACTACTCGTTCTGTGGTTCCCGTCGGCCTCGAGAAATAGTCTCCGACCAAGCTTTTGAGAATGTGAATTTTTTTATGTGTCATTATTTAGCGCTTAAGGGTAGATATGCATGATACCGTCATTGCTATACTTAATTTTCTAAGAAAGCATTTTTTTTTGCGGACAAGCTTTTGTTTGGTTATTCTTATTTTAATGTTATGCTTCATGTATGATGTAGATGCCAAAGAGAAAATAGTTGAGTTTGTAAAAGTCAATAATCCTTCCCTAAAGAAGATACAAAATGATAGCGTCTAAGGATTTCACTGTATATATCTTGCATATCTGAAAGATATCATTTTATATCTTGCCACTACTGAAATCATTAAACGCTATCATTCTGTATATTTTTAAGGGTATGATCATTGACTGTTACAAACCAAACTATTTTCTCCTTGGGCATCTACATCATAAATGAAACATAATATTAAAATTAGAATAACCAACACAAGCTTGTCTGCATAAAAAATTATGCTTTCCTAGAAAATAAAGTATAGAAATGTCAGTATCATGCATATCTACCTTTAAGCATTAAATAATAAGCAATGACACATAAAAGAACTCACATTTCCAAAAGCTTGGTTGGAGACTATTTCTCGAGGCCGACGGGAAACACGAAACGAGTAGTCCCTTTCCAAGGCAATTCTCTCCTCGAGCACGAGAGAATAACAACCGTCCAAAGGACAAGCAACATTCTCATACTTGTCTTGTTCTATGGGCAATTGAGGAAACTTAATTGAGACTCTGTCTACAAATTGTTGAATTGAGAACTGTTTCAAGAGACCTCCTTGCCTTAACCATATATTGTAGCTCATGGTCTCTAAAAGAACAACATCATATCAAATATCTGACGAAAAAATCCAAAAAAAAAAATACTCCGTATAACACAGAAAGTTTTGACATTTGTTATAAAAACTGAAAAAACTTACAACAATGGGGAAAATCCAACAGACAAAATAAGGGGAGTCTGGTTGTAAATTAAGACGAACGAACGGCGGCTCATCTTCCAAATTTCGGCGTTCCTACTCCTTGCCAACGAAATCCACCGTCGCCATGGTAGGCTGACCTTCGCCTAAGCTTCCATTTTTCCCTTCGCAAAGTGAATGAGATTCATCCTCTTTATTTTTTAAAAATGAATGTGTACTCAAATCATTATTTTGAAAAAACAAGAAAAAACCTTCGCCCAAACAAGAAAAAAACCCCGTATAAATGAGTGTCTTTCAAATGGTGGAATCCCTACTTCCAAAGAAAAAAGTGTGTTGTACTATGGTCATTTCATGTGTGAAATGTCAGTATCAAAAGCAAAGATGCCTTTTCACGCATGCCCTTCATTCCTCTTACATCAAAGAAAATGAGATGTGTCAAAAAGAGAGTGATGAAATAGTGTGCTCCGGGATTTAATAAACTTTTCAAATATTTGAATAATAATATTGTTCATTGAATTATGGAGTACATAGTATCATATGTATATGAGAGACTCTAAAACAATCAGGAATAGAAAAGAAAAACTAAATAAAATATAATATCTGCCATAAATAAGAATAAGAAGCTGGCCTAATAATCAAACAGTACCATAACTAATACTCCCTCCGTCCTAATTTGACCTTCCCACATTGACTAAAACTCATTTTTAAGGGATTGCTTATTTTTACTTTGACTTCCAACTTTACCCCTCCTTATAAACTGAAAAAAAAGTAAGGCATACAGTTTTTCCACGAAGGATGGCTTAACATTCGCCAAGGCTATTAACAAGGAAGCTTTTAACACTGTTGCTGCCGCTTTGCTACTC